CATCAGAAAACCAAAGTAACATTCAACTGTCCATATAATCAAATAAAATAATGTAGTTTAATTATTAAAGTAAACAAGAGCCATCCACGCCACACCACCACTTCACTGCCCTCCGGGTTGGCCATCCAAATCTGTGTTCCTACTTGCGTGCAGTCAAACAACAACGACTACACGCTCAGCGAAATGCTGAGTGAAAATATACCTAAGCCAGCATTAACTCACAGAATAGCACAACATTAACATACAATCAACAACATCATGTGATCACAGAGAAAATAGCTTAAATAAACATATTTATATTAACACCTTCCATTTGAACATCATGTCCTTATTTTATTCCACATCAACTACTTTGAGTCATGGCACCCCAAGCGATGCTATAAAAGGGCCAGCTCGAAAACCCAAAGGAGATTCACTTTGGGCGGGTTGAAGCCCCTGTCCCTACGATGCCAAGACAGGTCGCGGACTCCCGTACGTACGTTTTTAACCCAAGACCACCGGGGGTGCGACGACGCCCCGCAATGGCCGATTTCCTAATCATATCCTATTGGTGATTCAATCAGTCAATCTAATCCAGGTCCGCCTAAGTATACTAGGTGGCCTACTTCTCATACATTATCCATAATCCACAATATTCACCAATAAGATTAATTTAATTTAACATTGGTCACAACAAATCACGTAACGGCCTATCCGGGCCGAAGACCCACGATTACCGTCATGCATAATCAAACAACCCAAATTATAATTAACCCAACTTACCTGCGCGGAATCGAGACCAAGGAATCGATCCTCGGGCCCGCTGCCCCCGCCGGAGCAGTCCCCATTGTCGCCGGAACAACCCCGGCACGCTGCCCCGGCTGCCCGAACCTGAAGCCAGACCAAACAGCCTCGTTGGGTGGTTCACAGCAACCCGAACAGTACATCAATTAACCCAAAACAGTCCAATCACATCCAATTGCACCCAATTGAATCTAAATAGCCCAATTGAACCCGATTGCACCCGTTTGGACCCAATTGAACCCAATTGGTGCCAATTGGTGGCAATTGAACCCAATTGGTCCAATTAGAGCCTCTGCCCAGTCCGGTCAACTCGCCGCCGACGTTGCCGGCGGGTCGCCGGAGAAGACGCCGGAAAACAGCCCCCAAACCACATTTTCATGAATTCAACACAAACATCCACAATTCTCAATCAAATCGAAAGATTATACGCTAAGGAAGTTCTAATCTACGAATTAACACTAACGGAAGGTATAGAAACCACGAATCACCTCAAAAATTGAAGACATCGAAACCTTGGATTGAAACCACAAATCACCGCTGCATTTCTCCGGAAATGGTGCGTCCAAACCGGAAATTGGAGGAGAAGAGAGAGACGACGGCGGTGGTTCCTTAGACAAGTGGTTGACGGCGTCGGATCCCTGGTCGGCGTCTCTGGTCAACGTACAGTAGCGGACGGAATAGCGACGGGAGAGAAAGAGGAAGAGACGACGATGGCTTCCCTGGAGATGGCGGTGGTTCCTTTCGTCGCCTCCCGTCGTCGGGAACAGAGCAGAAGAAACGAGCAGAACAGGGGAAGAAACGGACGCAGGGAAGAGAGGAAAGGTCGTGCGTTTCTGTAACTCCCAGGCTGGATTAATATATAATTAAATATATTTAGTGTCCAATTTACACTCCCTAACCAGTTAGGATAAGTTTAACTCTAATTACTTGATTTGTCAATCGCATCTTAGACCCAATAAGTCCGATTTACAAACCGTTTGCGCGGTAGGGTTCAGAACAACGAGATCTAGAACATAGGATAAACCCTCATTAATTAAGGCAAATTATTAAATAATCCTCATATTGATTGACACAATAATTAGTTAATTTTATAAATTAATTAAAATACTAAGCCGGGTTTTGGGGCGTTACATTTCTCTCCCCCTTAAAAGAATTTCGTCCCCGAAATTATCTTAATCATTGTCACGGGAAAGGTGAGGATACCGAACTCTCATGGAATCCCCAGTCTCCCACGTGGCTTCCTCAACGGCATGGTTGCGCCACGGGACTTCGACCAAAGTTACCTGCTTATTTCTCAACTGCTTCACCTCGCGTGCTAGGATCTGCACAGGCTCCTCATAAGTCAAGTTATCGTCCAAAGTGATTATTCACTCGGGCAACTGATGGGTCGAATCTTAACGTCGCAACATAGAGACGTGAAACACATTGTGAATCTTGCTCAGTTCAAGGGGTAGCTCCAACTGATACGCTACAAGACCAACTTCTGCCATGAGGGTGGAAGATTGTGCTCACATTTAGCTTGGTACCCAAGCTTATTGAAGTTCCTTCCTAAACTTTGAAATGAAACAGGGACCCCTATCGGAGATAATAGATACCGGCACTCCATGCAATCGAACAATCTCGCGAAGACACAATTCAGCTAACTTCTGAAGCGACATACCCCGTCGAACAGGTAGAAAGTGTGCAGATTTTGTAGGACGATCCACAATGACCCATACAGCGTCGTAAGGGTAAGCCAATTACGAAATCTATCGTGATTCACACACTTTCACTCGAGGATAGAAGGCGGATGTAACAATTTAGATGGTACTCAATGCTCGGCCTTGACTTGCTGGCAAGCAAAAACCGTGTTGTAAACTCAAAGATCTCTCCCTTCTCAACGGGTCACAATAGTTCCCTTACAGGACATGATAAATCTTACTAATACCCGGTTGTATGACGAAGTTACTCCTAATTTAATTGATATTGAATAGTTGGGGAATACCCCGGTGTTCTCCCTGGCAAATCTGAATAATGAAGAAACAAGGAGAAATGATACGACAAAGAGTACTAACTAAATTGGTGAAAATTTGGTAAATGGGCCTTTGATTTGGAAAGTATTACTCTGTGATGGTTTTGCATTTGGGGGTGCAAATTTCTTATTTTGTTATTAAAGGTTCTATTATAAAATTACTGTACTGTAACATTTATTTTGATGATAACTTTTTAAACATAATTCCAAATTCGACCAACTACGTGTCACAAGTCACCCCTTTTTGCGAGACCTACCCAACAATCCAGGATTCGTGAGTAAACATAATTTCCACATCACCCTTGTAATTTACCCGTTCACTTTAAAATCTTCTCGATCTTGGGACGGGCGATTCCCTAACTTCCACAACTCAGATTCGCACGCGAAATACGCCATTGAACTCGTCTTGTCGGGACTTTCAATTCGAGTATAAATGTTTCCCATCAAATTTAACTTTGAAAATCATTTATTTTTAGCACTGACATTTTTTTTGTTTTTTTATATTTAATTTAAACAAAAATTAAAATTACGATTTGTTACATATTTGAAACTAAATCCTAGGGTATACTTCACGGCATTACGTTTCACTTTTTTTGGATACGACACGTATTTTCTTCCTTTTTTTGTGTGTGCAAAATATCCATTTTAATCATTTATCAAAAGTCCTCTAGTGAAAATGTTCAAGTGACTTAATCACTATGCCGCTTATCTAAAAAATTAACACCCAATCTTAAAATAATTATTTTTTTTCTTTCATTACACATTACCTCATATTGTCATCCTCGTCTGACACCGAAATAAAACACCCTCATTCGTCCGAGTCTGCAGCCCCTTCTGAATTTGGTTGTCATTTCAGTATTCAGCGATTCAATTGAATGCTAGATAAAGTTATTTATTAATGATGCCACTGGGCCACCATTTCACGTCTTGCCTTAGTGCTACAATATACCCTTTTCTCGCATGGATTGAACAAATTTAATTTCAATCTTACCCAAAATTATTCTGGTAAGTTACGTTATATAGTTTTTTTTGCAAAGTCACTTACCACTTAAAATATTATCATCACCAATTTAAAAGAGCGTAATTGAAACCCCTTTGCAATATTTTTTTTCCGAGCAACCCTCGTTTAGTTGATTCATATACACAATTTGTTTTGTATTAATTAATAAGTTGTTAGAAAATTAATCTCATTAAAAGTATCATAATGGTCAAAACTTTTAAATTCTTAATGGTAACCTTAACTGCTTTCTTCATATGTAATCTAACGGCGGTCCACTTCACTTATATATTATATATATTTTTCTAAAGATAACTTATTGGATAGTAATCCCTCACATAGACTAAATATATGGAAATAATTTTTTTTAAATATATGGTAACTACCCGCAAAACTGTCTAATTCAAAAATTCTTTCTTGCGAACCACTGGCACTGCTCAATATGATATTTATTATTAGTTGCGTAAGTTCATTAAGTAGCTTATAATTTATTAGTTTTTTTCATTTTCTTCAAATTATGTGTTTCACCAAAATACTTTGGTTTAGAGTTAATCCTAATGGTTCAACCCATAATACTTGTTTTCATTTTCTTCGTTCAACAATTGTTTGCTGGGAACATTTCATTCTAGACATCAGGTTTTACATATACTTTACAACATGGTGGTAGTTATAAATCTTCAAGTGTGAGATGTTTTTTTATATATAAAATTTAGCAAATTAGTACATATCTTGTTATTCTCTTCTAGAATATTTACGTTGTCTGATTCATCCCATACTTCTGAGCCACCTTATATTTCAATATTAAGCATTATTAAGTCTTTGGTGGTGTGATGCTATAATTTTGAGAGAGCTAATTATCTTTTGAGAGTCTCAGCACAACAAATTTGGTCCGAAATTAATCAAAATCAACTTCGAGGATAATCGTGAGTTATCCATTTCCCTCAAGTTGGCACTGGGCAGCTAAGTTCATATCTACATACTTTTATACCACCTTTTTTTTCCTATCATATTTACATTCCTTATACAAACCAACTACTAGCGTGTTAAATCCAACTCCGGTGGTTGAGATTTTCAACTATGACTATTTTTTTTCTAACTCTTACACATGTTATCAACATGTAATATAATTTATTCTTTCTGACAATTATTAATATAACATGATCGCACTAGTCGTCATGGATAACTGTGAATTACGACTTAGGCTCGCTTGGTGAGTTTTGAAGATGTGATAAGATATGAGTTCCAAAAGGCGAAATCTGATTAGAAAAGTGTTTGGTGAGAAAGACATATACTATGCGTATGAGTAGTGATTATGAATAGTAGCAAAACCATGACCAATCCACCGCTAAGGACTTCACCAAATATTTTTGTTGCAGAGGAACGTATAGGAACTAAACGGTGAGCATGGGTTTTGAATAGAAAACATATTCCTCGACCGTCATTGTCGATAATCTAGATCTGTTGCTAGAGACACGACTTTCCCGTTGCCCCATGGGAAGGAGACACAGAGTTGGATGCGAAGATAAGAGAATTTTGATGTGTTGAGAAAGAGTTTTCCCATCTTCATCTCCTTCGATTTTGATAACAACGTTTTTTTTGTTTTCGATAGCGGTGAATTAAGGTTGAAAATTTCCTTTTAAATTCACCAACACAAAAATTAGGATTTTGATATTCGGGATATCAAAATCCACATTTTTTTTCTTCTCGCCAAATACAACCCTAATTTAAGATTCACCCTCCAAATTTACTACACATAAGTATTTCTTTATATACTTAATAAACCAACCAATAACTAAATATTAAAGACAACAATTAATTATTACATAAGCAACAATAAGGATTCAGAGTTACCTCCCGGAGCAGCAATGTAGTGAAGCTGGGGATGCTCGACACATGTATATACAATAATAGTTTTTTTTAAAAAAATTCGTAACATCACTTTTTTTAAATTGGTAAATCATCATATTTTTTTTCATTTTTAAACAAAATAGTTTTTATAAGTTCAATTATTTTGGCAAAGAATCGTTTTTAAAACCACATTCTCTGATACCAAAATGTAACACCCCAACCCGCGTAACCCAAACCAGGTTAGCGAATCGGGTTGTTACTAAGTTGGTGCTCACATGCCTAAATTTTCTTTCCTAAAATGAACAATTAAATCAATTATAAAATGCGTCTGTAGGGTTTTAACTAAACCCGAATTCACCAGAATAATTAAATAAATCCAAACGTCGCGGAAACATCAGAAAACCAAAGTAACATTCAACTGTCCATATAATCAAATAAAATAATGTAGTTTAATTATTAAAGTAAACAAGAGCCATCCACGCCACACCACCACTTCACTGCCCTCCGGGTTGGCCATCCAAATCTGTGTTCCTACTTGCGTGCAGTCAAACAACAACGACTACACGCTCAGCGAAATGCTGAGTGAAAATATACCTAAGCCAGCATTAACTCACAGAATAGCACAACATTAACATACAATCAACAACATCATGTGATCACAGAGAAAATAGCTTAAATAAACATATTTATATTAACACCTTCCATTTGAACATCATGTCCTTATTTTATTCCACATCAACTACTTTGAGTCATGGCACCCCAAGCGATGCTATAAAAGGGCCAGCTCGAAAACCCAAAGGAGATTCACTTTGGGCGGGTTGAAGCCCCTGTCCCTACGATGCCAA